CGTTCAAAGTCAAGTTAGTTGTACCAGGGAACAGTGAATTCACTGTTTCCTGGTTAGACTAGTAAGCCCCACAAGTCAAACAAATATAAGCATATATATATACATACATATATATATCTTATACACATCTAGATGTGTATAAGAGACAGATGCCTCAGGATACTTCTAGTTAGTACTAGTCTAGTAGGGGCCCTAATATTACTATTAATCTGTCTCTTATACAGATCTGGATGTGTATAAGAGACGGCTAAGAAACAATGATGAGCTGCCCAAAATAAATTGAAGTTTGGTGTTTTCATCTGCATTTAAATACATGTAATATAAGTCATGGTTGCCATATAGTTCTAATTCACTTCGTAATTTAAAATTTTCATTAATACGTATATTTTGAAGTGCTGGACAGACAAAAAGGAAATGGCGAACATTTTCATCAGAATTTAAATCGCAAATTATACATTTTTTATTACTACTTTCATTCCAATTTGAGGTTCTATCATTTAATGGCAATGTATTCGATCTAACTTTGAATTTCAATGCAGCTCCCTCGAAGTCAGTCTTATCAATTAAATAGTTTTCTAATCCAGGGTTTTGTTTTATCATTGCGTAATCTGAGAGTGATGATTTATTTAATACACCCGCTCTCCAATCATTAACCATATTTTCATCAAGTTTTTTTAAAATGATTGAGTTTGAGAGAGAACATATTTCATTGTTTTGCAGTGCATTGAAGATATTATTTGATTCACATTTTATTAAAGTATCATTTATACAAGATAAAAATTTATAACGCAAGTCATTAAAGTTACAATTGAGTTGCATCATAGTACTTAAAAGGAGTTTAGGCCTTAGCTTTAGCTAGTTTTAGCTGATCACTTTTTCTCTTTGGTATAATAGCGCATGAATGGCGCTCTCTTGCTAAATGGGAAACTTTTGAACCTTGACCGACGCTTCTATTTGTTACGCGTAAATCGCGGAGAACGCTATCTTGTGTTTATAAGATCTTTGTTGTCAACTCAATTTCAAACTTTAATGACCGGTAATATCATTAATCTATATATAGATGTTCGAAATCTGTAAAGTACGGAAGCACCTAAGTGCCATTCGACTTGACGACTTGTCAAGATAATTATGTTGTCAAGTCGACATAATATACATATCATGTCGACATGGCGAGATAGATTATCTTGACAAGTCGACATACTAAAAATTGTA